CCCGAACGCCCGAACGTTCGGGTGCCAGCCCGGGGCCCCCCGAACATTTGGTCAGGTAACCTTGTATATATATATATATATACAGGGTCACCAGCCCGTACGTACGGAGGTTCCCGGGCAGACCTCCGTACGTTCGGGCGTTCGGGGTCCCGTACGGGATCCGAACCCGATGGCGTTCAGCCCCCGCCAAAATTTTTTTCGGGGCCTAAAAATAATTTTTGTTTTTTGAATTATTTTTTGTGAGTTGCCTATGACGTGAGGTACATGTCTGTAACTTTTCAAGTCATTTGGCTAAGCCAAATAAGAATTAAAAATCGCCAAATATGGCAGTGTCAAAACGTGCTCGCCCACGTATTTTTTCACTTTTTGCTTTTTGTTTTCACTTTAGTTCGGGGTCTAAACAATTTTACCATTTTTTGAAAAGTTTTTAGTGGGTTTTGTATTATGTAGAACACAGATCTGTAAATTTTCAGGGCATTTAGCTATACAAAAAAAAAAAAGAAAAATTGCCAAAGATGGTGGTGTCGAAAGCATGCTCGCACACTCACTAAATTTAATTCTCTTTTTCTTTTTATTTATTTTGATTATTAGTATTTGTTCTCCGTACTTTATTTTTATTTTCGATTTGGTAAGGAATTCGGATGCAGTGCTCAGGCAAATCTTGTTCAATTTTTTTTTTCTCCACGACATATCTATTTTTTCAGATTTTTTTGATGACTTTTTTTTTTTTTTTTGGGTCCGTGTTCAGCCCGAACGGCCGAACGCATCCCCAAGGTTAGAACTGCCCGGTAAACCGTAGGCATAGAGGGAGAAGAGGACAACAAACGAGGGGCTGTGACGAACTGTTTCGTCGGAGTTTCACCGACTCATATATATATATATATATATATATATATATATATATATATATACATGGTTGCCGACGTTCGGGATGGGCCGAATGCCGGAACCCGAATGCCCGAACGTTCGGCACCCCCTCTCGACGCGTTCGGACGTTCGGCCTAACACGGATCCAAAAAAAAAAAAAAAAAAAAAAAATTCCAACAAATCTGGACAAAATATATGTTATGCAGAAGAATAAACTAAACATTATTTGCCTCAACTTTATATCCAAATTCTTTACCAAATTTGAAATAATTATCGAATACTAAAATAAACAATAATAATGAAAATTAGAAAAACTAAAACGAGAATTAAATTATTGAGTGGGTGGGCACATTTTTGACACCGCCATCTTTGGCGATTTTTCATTATTTTTTGGATGTGACAAATGCCATGAAAATTTATATATGTGTATCTTACATAATAGAGAACCTACAAATTAAGCTTGAAAAAATAATAAATTGTTTTATGCCCCGAAATGAAGGAAAAACAAAAAGTGAAATGAGAAAAAAAAACAAATTTGTGAGTGGGCAAGCAAGTTTTGACACCACCACCTTTGAGGATTTTCCTTTTTTTTTTGGCTGAACAAAATTACTTCAAAATTAAGCGGCGGATACCTTACATCACAAAGAACTCACAAAAACAAATTCAGAAAAACATAATAATATTTGGGTGCCAAAATAATATTTTGCGGGGTCCGAACCCCTTCAAGCTCGGGCCCTGTACGGGGACCCGAACGCCCGAACGTTCAAGGGTCAGCTTAGGGGCCTCCGTACGTTCGGCGTGTCAACCTTGTATATATATATATATATGTATATATATGTATATATATGTATATATATATATATATATAATCCAAAAAGTGAAAAAAAAAAAAAACGGGACAGAAAAAGGTATACTGCCACGTGTGAGCATTGCCCCCAACTTCATAGGCTAAACAACGTGACAAGATCGACCAGGATATCAAAACACTCTTGGATGCAAAAAATGAAATCCCAATTGCACATGTGGCAATATATATATACGTTACCGAACATACACATACGGGGCCTTTCCGTACGAAACGTACAGATGATATCTGTACGGGAATCTGTACGCTGCCGTACGAACCGTATAAAAAAAAAAAAAAAAAAAAAACGTCATCCAAAAAATCCGAAAACAATATATGTGATGTAAAATCCCAAGACAAGCAACATTTGCCCGAGAACCATCCGCAGATTCTTGTTAGAATTGGGAAAAAAAAATAAAAACAGTAAAACAAATTAAAAAAAGTCGTACGGGCCTTGAGTACGAGTAACGTACAAGAGATGAGTACAACTTGTACTCGTATGGGGGTGAGTACGAATCGCAACGTATATATATATATATATATGCATATATATATATGTCACAGCCCCACGTTTGTTGTCCTCTTCTCCCTCTCTGCCTACGGTTTACCGGGCAGTTCTATTTGACGATATGTATATATATATATATATATATATACAGGGTTACCTGATCGAACGTTCGGGGGGCCCCGGGCTGGTCCCCGAACGTTCGGGTGTTCGGGATCACGTTCGAGGGCCGAACACCTCCAGGTTCGGCTCCCGCCAAAAAAAAATTCGGGGCCTAAAAATAAGTTTTTTTTTCTGAATGTGTTTTTGTGAGTTTCTTACGGAGATGAGTTTCGAGATTTTTTCACATACGTTTGCTATTCGTGCATAACAGCGCACGTGTGGTTATGCGTTCATCGCGTTTGAGTCAGACTTTGTTTGACTTGCTCTTCTTCGTAACCTACACGCCTATAAATTTTGAAGCCATTCTGCTAATCCAAAAAAACATTAAAAATCGTCAAAGATGGGGGTGTCAAAAGGTGCTTGCCCACTCACTATTTTGTTTTTTCTCACTTTTAACTTTTTGTTTTCACTTTATTTCGGGGCGTAAAAAAAATTATTATTTTTCGAATCAATTTTAATGAGTTATTGATTATGTCAACTCTATATCTGTAAATTTTGAGGGCATTTGTCAATGCCAAAAAAAAATTAAAAATCGGCAAAGATGGCGGTGTCGAAAAGGTGCTGGCGCACTCTCTCATTTTAATTCTCTTTTTATTTTTTCTTATTTTTATCAAAGTGTTTATTTTCAGTATTTTATTTTTAATTCAAATTTGGTAAAGAATTTGGATACAATTCCCTGACAAATGTTGTTTGGTTTATATTTCTCCATAACATATTTGTTTTTCGCAATTTTTTGAATATATATATATATATATATATTTTTTTTTTTTCTTTTTTTCGCGTTCGGCCCGAACGGTCGAATGGCTTCCGAATGGGTCCCGTACGTTCCGGCAATCGGGTTCGGGCGTTCCGCCCGTCCCGAACGCCGGCGACCCTGTATATATATATACAAGGTTGCCGGCGTTCGGGACGGGCCGAACGCCCGAACCCAAACGCCCGAACGTATATATAGGGTTGCCGACGTTCGGGAAGGGCCGAACGCCCGAACCCAAATGCCCGAACGTACGGGACCCATTCGGAAGGCGTTCGGCCGTTCGGGCCGAACGCGGGGAGCGATGGGTGCTGCATTTTGAATTT